GAATAAGGTAAAGCTGGCGTAGTTTCTGTGGGTACCTCGCCAATTCGAAACAAATAAATTTATTTATTCGCCTTACATCGTTTGGATGTAGCTTTAACTTATGACGAGTGCCAACAATGGAAAAAGACGCGAGTGAACGATACAAAACGCTTACAGACGGCAAATAGGTGTATTCTTGGAAGGCCTTATTCATGCAAGAAGCCCTCGCTGCTGTTAGTCCGGTAGAACGAAATAACAGACGTATATTTAGTCTTATTACAAGCAAGTACCCAAAAGCAAGTCCTGTGTCGGTTGGATTCATCCGGAGCGAGGGTTTTCAGCTAACAGTGTGATTACGACGAAATCAGCAGTCTGGCAGATTTCAAGGCGTAGCTGAGTGGACAGACATATCCTGAGTGTGGTCCACTGTTTTCAAACATGTTTTCAACATAAAGGAACCATTTACCAAATTTTTTGTTTCAAACTTTACAACATATTGTTTCGTCAAAGATTCAACGCCAAAATATCTTGATCCTTAAAATGTTTCCACGATCATTATCCAAAAATCGATCAAGGATGATGCAAGTTCATCCATCAACCAACAAAATATATTTCTGCCGTGATCAGTGAGCCATGTCCATAAAATTTACTTCAGACTGGTTTCTTACCTCATTTACTAACGCTTTTCTACCGGAAAACAAAATGCCTTGACGTTTTAATGCAGAACAAGCCAGTTTGAAATTGGAACATTCTTACCACTTTCACATTTTCTATGACGCGGTCGTGCAGTCGTATGATCCACTTGTCTTATCGCAGTTTTAGGGTGGAACGATTCGGTGTGTTGGTGATGATGGTTTCGAAACTACGCAAAACATCGAGTTGCGACGAGGACCAGTTCCAATGCATTACATAATTTCAGCCTCACGAGTGTTATATGTGTACGTGAGGTAGGGGTGAAACTTTCATTTCCGAACAACCTATCCTGCCTGATGTTGCCGAAATACACTAACGGAGAATCGCTGTCATCTGAGGCTATACACTTCAAGATATGTGTAGAATTATTTTAAGTCGGAATGTTGTTGTGAAGCGAACAACCTATCCTGCCTGATGTTGCCGAGATACACTAACGCACAATAGATGTCATCTGAGGCTGTACACTTCAAGCTATGTATAGAATTATTTTAAGTCGGAATGGTGTTGTGAAAGCAGTCCGACACACCTGGTTACCTTCCTGGGTGAGAATCACTGATGTGTACTATGGTTGTCTGCTACCCTACTAACCTATCCACAAGGATATTGTGACTTGGTCCCAACAATTCTGATAGTGAATCTCGCTATGACTCTCAGGTTGAAAGATGGTTATGGACATCCGCATGCGCGGTCGCTACTATACAGTTGTTTCAACCTTAGTGGGAATCACCGGCTGTGCACATCTCGCGAAACTTCACTTTCGAGCCCTCAACCTGGCGGCCACTGGTTAGAGCGCCTAACAGTTCGACCATAAGCAGCTGAACAGCATTGTGATTAGCTCGAACTTAGACAGGATGTGGCACCAATCAAACCACTAACCGGGAGATCCGGGGTTTGAGACTTTCTGGATTTTTGCGAGACGCGACCTGCTAGTTATCCTCAGTGAGGATTAAACTGCTGTACATGCTTCTCGGTTTTTCAGCATAGACTGGCTTCACTTACAAGACGAAACCTGCATTAAAGATTTTCACATGAGTAACCTTTGATCGTAGTCTACGTCAAAAAGTCGAGACGTGCAGCCCATTAACATAAAATTCGGGGTTGGTCGGAATATAATTGTCGCTGTTTTCAAAGCTGAGCTGGAGCTTAAGAGAGCAATAGTTAGGCCAAGGATAATACAGAAGTCAGGGACCATTTGAATAAGCTTTAAAAGCAAATGGGATGATTCAGGCTTTTCTATTTCATCGTAGAAGCTCATATACATAACGTACAGTTTTCTTCAGATTTATGCGACTGGTATCACCAGTGTATTCGTTGGCTAGGGCGCGGGATGGCTGAAGTGGTTAGAGCGCGAATTTACTGACCAGAAGATTCGTGCTTCGAACCCGACTTCCCCTGTCTGGGCTTGGGCAACCTGGCCGTATCCCAGCCCTTACGTTTCATTCTGGTGTTTCAATCTGGTGATATGGCAGCCGGGTACCGAAAGCGTGCTACAGCTGAGCGATATATATTTGTTGGGTAGATGGCTAAGTATCGTAATGTCGCGTATTTAAGCTAAAAAAGTGTAGGAAAGGAAACAGCACTGTGTGAAAGGAGCGCGGGAAATGTTTGCTGAATTCTCTAATTTGTTGGACCTGATGACCGGTTACAACCGAAAGGCTGGTACTATGAAGCGCGGTTGGTTAAAGAACTAAATAGAATAGATTTTGTGAAGGACTTGGAGGCGTATTGGCACTTAAAACCATCATTTGGATTGATTACCGCTGAAAAACTTATTAAACACATGACACAGGTTTGAAGCAACCATTACATACATGCAAGGTCCTGCTCTGATCAACCAAGAGCGTTGATTCAAAGGATGACGGATCAGCCTGTTCAATTAATACACCATTCACTCTAATCGCAGTACTTCAGTACGGAAAATCAACTCAAAGCCTATGCGGCTAATTCTCTAGATAGTAAGAACATGATACTGGAAGGAGAGCTTTCCATCGCAACGAATTGTGGGGCCAGTATTGTTCGTACAGTGGCGCAGTTTGGAGATACGGTTGCAGTGTGACATTTCTGATCAATCAAGGGAGCCCAATGTGTGTACGGTTGCGCGTTGCCGATGATTCAGCCAACAAAGAACAAAAAGAAGCGTACCACTGATTAAAAAGCAAAGTTGCGCATCATACTGTGTCGGTGCTGACAGGTTACGTCAACTAAATTGTTATGGAATCTCCAAACCGTAATGAATCGCTCACTGTACCTTCTGTCACTTATCTTGGTGGCTGGTTTGGGCAGCAGTAGTTTTGCAGTAAGGGCCACGGTGTAGAAAAAAGTCGAACCGTAGAAAGACCGAAATTGGGAGCTATCATGGTTACATGCTGGGTGCGACCAACTTTCTAGGCTGTTTGTTTCCGCACCTGTGCAGATCCAGTGTGAGCCACCGTAGTAGTGTGTGGAAAAGCCGGGTGGTCGGTCAGTTCTGAGGACCAATGAAGTGCTTCCGAAAGAATTGTGTTAGAGGATGCAGCCGCGTCTAAATGAAAAAAAGGTAGAGATCGGTTGGAAAACTCTGTCAGAGATTCGAAACGACCACTCAGCTGTTTTCCTCAGAGATCTGGATATCAGTTGTGTTGTAGCCACCCTTTGTAAATCGGTCGACTTCGTTTCTTGTGGTTATATCAGTGTCTTGGCAATCCATTTTATGGATTCTTCACTTTCCAGATTCCGACGACCATGTAAACGTCAACCGTCAGCTACATTGGCGCGAACAGAACATTATCACATTGCCAAAAAAACCGTTCAGCTGTAGCACCTTTTCGGTGCCTAACTGCCAAACCACCAGAAGGAAGGACGAGGGCTGGGATACTGCCAGGTTGCCAAGCCTAGACAGGGCAATTCGAGAGACAGAAGTCGGGTTCGAACCACGAACTTTCCGGTCAGTAATTCGCGCTCTAACCACTTGGGCCATCTCGCCCATATAGCCACCCTGAGGTTAGCGTGGAGTTACGACAACGAATACAAGAGACATGTCGAGCACAGCGCTGTCGCAAGGCCAGTCGGATTGTGCATCCGTTTCGTTTATCAGCTGGGTCTGAAGTTCCACTTTATTTCCAAAACATGCACACCAGTTGTCAGAACCAAAGCTGGTAACCAATTTGAGGACAGTCTTGCGGAGTTCGAAAGTATGTTGCAGAATGGCAGTCGACAGTTCTCATGTGCAAAAATGTCAATTTGCTTGTCCTTTATTGGTAACTCTATATTGGAGGAATACTTGGGCATTCACGCAGAAGAAAAAACTCCAGATTTATAGAGGTGGAATCACCATTTTTTCATACTTGAGTATCCAACAGCATGAATGTTAACGTATTGGATAAACTTTGAAAAAAACCCCGAGGACCCCAGATTTTATGACCTTGGACTTGCAAGTTTTATCTCTAGTCAATATATGGTACCAATTATTCTGCAACTCATATCCAAGCGAGAAGGAAGGGTAGTATGGTTGCTTCGTAGGGCTCATCCGCTTCAAGGTTTTATCTCGTTGTGTCTTCATGACGGGGAGTCACGTTCAAGCGTTCGACTGGCCGGAGGACGGGTTCGAAACTCTCTGAGTTTCGTGAGCTGCGCACTACCGATGATCCCCAAAATGGATGAAACAGCTGTACAGTGCTTCTGGACTCTTCACTATGGATTGACTTCACTCACAGGACGAGATCTCAAGTGGAAAATAAATTGATAGTTTGATGCGTAGTCTTGTGCGGTGTTTTAGTGTTGAACACGCATACCGAAAGTTGCAATACTTTGGTTAAATATCGGCAAACCATATATTGAGATACGTTGACTCAATCTACTGCAGTTTCGTTTGCTGAACGATGGTAGGGCGCAGACAGGGTAATCATACATTGGAGCGATAGCCTCATTAGTTAATTGGTGTTGGATTTTTCTGTCTAATGAGGTGGGACGTTGGACAGGTATGCATCAAAAGTGGTGGATTTGACGCAGGAACACCACTCGCTGCGAATCTTGGTGTTGCTTTCCGAGGTGTCCATTCAGTGGCATTAGTTGTCAAGCTGCTACAGACTGTTATTAACAGAAGTGATAGGAGACTTAAAGGCGAGCGAGAAAAGCATTTGCCAAATCAAACTATGGGCCCGTGAAACGACCTACAGTCTACCATCAAACTCACATCTTCAAGACACGTCAAAAACATACAGGGAAGAAACAGGAAAAGCGATCACTGCTGGTCAAACTGCACCCCTTGAGTATCCAACCGTGTCGGATTAAGTAACAACGGACCAGAATGTAGACACCCGACCAGCGAGAAAAAATATAGCAAGAGTTTCTTCGAATCCAGGGTCTATGTTGCATATAAGGTGAGATAACGCGAAAATGGACAGAAAAACAGCCAAACATAACGTAGCACGAACGTCCAATGCAATTAACCGGGGACAATGAATTAAAAGAGTTGGGTGGGGAGTGTGGAGGGGTGAGACGGAAAATGGATTGCACTGAGACGTTGAGCAAACAAAAGGAACAGAGATGAACGCACTAAAAGAGGAAACAAGTGTCAAGGAAAATCAAAGTAGAAAAGGACACTGCAATGGAATGAGAACAAAGTATGAACATGCACAGAGAAAACGAATGGGAAGTGGGAGTATGCAAAAGGATAGAACCACCCGTTCAAGGGTCCGTTAACACAGGCTATTCCTACTAATGTGTCAGTTCCGAGGTGCTTCGACTGGCTTCTCGGGTGGATGAATGAAGGTCACATTGCGTAGGTCACAGTCAACTTGGAGCATTATGAGGCGTGGATCGGATTCGTTGGTTGGCATGACGAAGTTTGAGACTTGAAAGAAGAGAGAATGGGAAATGATTGAGAACTAGGAGTGAACGAAAAGGAACAAGTACATGAGGACGCTCATCCTGAGTGAGGCTCTAAATCTGATAGAGATGAAACGGCACGAAGGCCACATTCATTCATCAGATCAAAAAAAGAAACGTAAGTGCGAGACGCAACTGGTGACGAGCTCAAGGCATCCCCGAGGATTAACGTAAGATATTCGCTGACCTGGAGGCTCATGGTTCGAACCTTAACCTTGCTTTGCGCTTCCTCATGCTTGCAGACGATTCAATCAATGTCTACCTGTCTACGGAAATGTATAAATTCCTGTGGGCTGGCAGGTGTGAGATTACTTCTCGAATCGGGATTCTTTTGCCACCCTCCAACACCCACGGAGGATGTACACTTGATCGAGTGACAGATTTTGGTGTTCCCGGCGCAGCAAATGTGCCACCAACTATGGGAAATTCTGCAGGGCAATGAAATGTAGTTTTCACAAGTAGGGACTTCCAATTAACTTCAATTCCTACTTAGCCTACTTTATCCATATTAGCATGGGAATAAAGTATCAGCATTTACTAATGACATCACTCGACCAGAAAAATGCTGTCGGACTCTGGAAAGCTCACGTACAACGCCTTTCACCCTAATCAGGGATAATCGGATAAGCAGGATCTTTTGGTTAAAAGCTTTAGACAGTCTCCCCTAGAGCCATTTACTCGCTAACCAGCTGGCTCTGATGTCGACAGGATAAAACTGCCAACCGAAAGGTCGTCCGACGATCCCTACCCAGGGCCGGTCACCAGTAATCGAATCATGTGAATGTGTTAAAAGCCGGGTGATCAACAATCACGCTTCATAACATCATAACGAAGATGCACGGTCGTGCAAAGCCCGATTCAGGCATCGCTCCTATTACTGCCCACCGTGATCCGATCACTCAACAGCTGAGAGACATAATGCCAGTGTAACGTTCCCAACGCGTTACATGTCTGCTAAATGGGAATGTATATCGGAACAGGCGGACGAGATATCCGCTCGTACATTTTTACTGCGCTACAATTTACAGGCAAAATGCTGATGAACTTTAAGTGCCGTCCAGCATCCCACGTGTTCATGTGTGAGAACCAATTCTTGAGACCCTGCCAACCGACATTAATCGGCACAACCTAAGTAGATGCCAAACATACACAGAAACAAGTTTCTTGGACGATTGTTTCGATCGTTTGAAAATTACGTCCCTTAAACAGTTGTGGTGTGTTCTTCACTCAAGCGCGAAAATGAAAACGGCTTCAGTTAACCGAACCAATTAAACAGGCTCATACTGCTCTCAGCCAGGCCAGTTTTATCATACCTTGATGAAGCAAAGGAACATTTCGGTCGAACTGATCCAAACGTGAATTCCGCACGACCACAAGATGGAACTAGTCGATAGATACCTCTGTTGTTCACGTCTAACTAGATGAATGTACAAATTTGAAAGAATGCATGAAAGCTCGTGTCTATCGGGCATCGAATCAATAACAGGTTAAAGATTACCGGTTTTGTACGAGTCTAGTTTTTCTTCCGTATTCACCCACGCATGTGTTTAGTCGTGTTACTCCAAAAGCCTCGGGGTTCTGAGACTTCACATAGGCTGTTTTTGAGTCCAGTCTACACACGCTTGTGGTTTTCACAGGCGTTAGACGGAAATCATCTGATGAAGGACTCGCTTCAAAGGTATCGCCTTCACTGCGTAGTTTTCACTTCCTGCCATACTGGACAAACAGATTCATTTGTCACCAACGAAATGATTAGGCCATTGCCTCACATGCGTGGCGCTCATTCTCATATTTTCTTTAACCTCTGTGAACGAAGCGGTTACAACCACTGCACTTCGGTGCACGGCTCACAGGCTGAAAAACTGAATGCTTGAGTCTACCCGAATATATGAACAAGGGGTTCTTAGCCAGAGGATTTCATAATTATGAGTAGGAAGCGGAAGTCCCAGGTCTGAGACATCTATTGAGAAAGTCGGTCAGGTATGTCTGATATTTAAATCAAGTGAAATTCATCTTTACTTGGTTCATTTTTCTGGGCGATAGTTTAGAAACGGAACAATGACTAGAGGACTGGCAAATGCGTTAATCGCATTGCATTATTCGATAGATAGGGGAGATGTGGGAGAGGCCGGTGAACGAAGAGATACAAGAGCGAACGATACTACCCCACTGCCCCAGCCGAAGGGGTTTTGGTTAAGGTACCTCATCTTGAGCATCTGACTCAAAAGCTTCGCTGACAATGCAATGGGAACTCAGTCCTTAGCCTCTGACTCAAAAGTCTGAGCCCAGAGGCAGCGGTTTTAAGTTTTTTTCGGGGAACTTATCACAAGCGAATGACTCAAGTTTGACCGATGGTCGGCCTGCCCGGGGGTTCAGGGAATAAGGCGTCTCACTCCTGAAGCGACTGCGCGCAGTAGGTGCCTCTTAAGTAACACCAAACTTTGTTTTTAAAAATAGTAAAGAATAGAACACTGGTGGTTACAGTCAACCCCTGGGCGATCAGAGTGTGCGGTTTTTAAGACTGGCCTTTTCTAACCTACCCTTCTTCGGCGGAAGGCAGCACTGCTGACTCATAAATATGGAAACTCTAGTAGCCTGAATGAAACTGCCTTTGCATTCCTATCGCAGGGAACAGTAAGACTTTACCTCCAGATCGTCCCGTAAGAAGACTTCTCGCAGTACGGGGACTCACTGTTGTCCATCGGCCTTCCTGGTATGACTGAAGTTTGGGTAAACTGAGTTCCGGCCCACAGAATCATTGCAGTACAAAAGCCCGAACACTACGATAAGGTGGAAGCTTTAGGTCGGGGATGAACTGATCTCGCCAGTTTATTAAGCCAAATAATGGTTTATACGTCATTTATGGGACTATCTGATGGACCTACTTATTGTACGTGACCATAAGTCTAGTCCCGTTAATTTTAGCGCAAGGACCCGACTGATTCATTCCATCAATCTTTTACCTATTGTACGTTTCTACTTCCCTGTTCACAGGGTCACTATGGGGAAAGGTTGAATCGGCTCCAATTACAGCAATCAATTGGAGCTCTTGGTGAAAATATCTGACCGCAGCAGCGCACGATGTAAGAATACCTGGGTGGGTCGTCATATCCGTTGTATTCTCCAAACTGGAAAGCCGGGAAACTGCACGCCTCAGACCTGGTTAATTTCGAGTGTTAGACGGGTTACCGGGGTGTACAAAGCGTCACATTTCTATAAAGGCTACTCCATTCCCATTCCTCTCTATTACCGTAAACTCACGTGTTGAACATTAGCTCGGTTTCTGTCCGCATATCCCCCGTGTCAAGATGTACACTGTTCGTCGAAACAATTGCGCCAGCATTCAGTGGACAATCGACAATTTATGTGCTTGCCTCTTAGGATACCGGACAAAGTGTACTACTAGCAGGCATACATTCATCGACTATGATCAACCACTCCAACGAATGGCGTAACCTACCGCGTCCACATGCCGTAGAGATGTTCGGTCCAAAACAGTACAACATTAGTGTGGGATAGACGGGAGTAGGAAACTGGTATGTTGATTGATTGGATGTGCGAAGCAGATGCTAGTAGATGGAATTTTTGTATACTTGGCGAAGTAACAAGACGGAGTGAGGTCATGGCTATGAGACCAGGAGGAAGCCGGGTGATTAGTAACGACGATTTAGGAGCGATAATCGGGAACACAATGCTCGAGGTGACGGGCAACACTTGGAGCTTATTGGCGTGGCTATTTAAGAGTTCCCGATAGAATAGACGAATTCGAGCCCCGGGAACTGTTACTAATAGTATAGATTGCTCCATTCAACCTGCATTTGTTAAGATGTCACAACTCTATACGAAAAAGCAGGAGGAGAAGGCAACCCGTTAGCTGCGTATGGAGAAGCAATAATGCGCGTGACAAAGCCTAAAAGCGGTATTTCACCGCTTGAGACGGGCACATCAGACCTGCAGCAGTGAGGGACATGGTTCGGATAATCTTACAAAAATGCAAGTAACTTGTTGTGCATGCCAGTGACTTGGCAGGCTAAGCGCATTTTCGACTACTAGTTTAGATACAAACAACGGATGTTGTAGGCCATGTTGATAGCTCATTTTTTATTAGGATCAATAAACAGGTACCGGAGCAACAATGACTCCCGGGAATGTTCAGTGCTGTTGCCTAAGAGAACTCGTGTTTTGAAAATATTGACGGGTCGGTTTAGGGGTAGCTTGGATGCACTGACTTTGAAATTGTAGTGTCTGTGATTGAAGGCGACCTATTACTGGGACGAGTCTCCAGCGATAATGAAAATGGCAACCTCAAGGGTACGGTTTTGAGCAGTAATTCGGGCATGAAACACTGAGAGAAGAGTCACTACTTTGCCCCCAGACACATGTCAACAGCAGTTCGGTAATCACAATTCATGGCAAGTAGTGTAGCTCCTCCAATGACAACTCCTCAGAGGAAGGTCCATGTGATTTGTGGGGTGTTCTCCTACAAACAAACCTGGTTGGAATGTGTGTGGTGTTTTCTGAGGTATGAATCCATTTGAAAAGGCCATTATATTTGTACACAATGAGAAAGCACGACAAGGTCAGGAGATGAACCCACCATTTTGAGTCCGATAGGCTGGTACAATTAATGTGATCTTCCTGGCTGGTGAGTCTCCAGCAGGATCGAACACATGAACTGCATCGATTTTCGATAGGATGAAATAAACCGTATCATTGCGGCGACCAGCCGCTTCTAGAAGATCCTCCTGATACCATACGAAGCGACGGTAAAAAGGCTGTAGAAATAAAAACAGTGCGGAGAATAGGATGATACGAGAATCAAGGGTAACGGACGTACAACAGGTGTGAAGTGCAAAGAACAGCGGGAGAGGGACAGTACACGCGAAGATGTGGTAGGTTAGAGAGGCCACCACCATCAAGCCAAGTGGAATTTTCGGGGGCAGTGGATGGTGGCAAATGTGGTGTAAAAAAACAAATAAAACGATAAAATACTTTAATATGTTTTAAGGATAGCTCATGAAATGCAGTGAGGTGGAATAACGCGTTCAACACATGGATAGATTTATCAACGAGTTCGCCTGTAACGAACAAAGCCTTGTTGAAGTCAACCTAGCGTGAAAAGTGAAAATAGAGAACGTATACGACTCCCTTAAAAATTCAAGTACAGACTCATCATTTGCTGCCTACCGACTGACCTTATCGCCACACAAGACCGGTGAGTTTACAGAGGCATACTATCCGAAGATGCCGCACGCAGCAAGACAGGTATATGTGACCAGCTGTTATGTCCACAGACCATACAGAATGACCCAAATAGATCGGTATGAGTACACAACACGAAGACCAAAGTCGAGACTAGATTGACGACGATTATCGATAATCAAGACGTGCTGACTAATTAGAGTGCATCTACCGGCTGAACTCAGATCCGGGTTGGGTAGGTATCTAGGTGTCTTAGGGGGGAATTTGTACGGTTTAGCTTGAGTAAACGTTAGAATAGATTGCTAAGTCAGGTAGAGAAGCAGCGTAGTTACAGCTAAAACAACGACAAAGTTCAATAGGCTTAGGAAATGTATTGACTACAAAACGGTGTCTATGTTATCAGAAGTTTTATCTATTGTACTCGTAAAAGACAGTTTAATGTAAATAGGAATGAATGTGTAGAGCCGAAACCTACTGTGGCTAATACGCAGCAAAAACTCACCCGATCACTCTTCAAACCACAAATACATACTAGAAATCTGGTAACCGATCAGGTCATACTGGAATTACGAGAGTCGCCACAAGTGACTTTGGCAAAAATAAAGGAAAGTCGACAGTTGTCGTTGGTGAGGCTAACGCGATTGACCTTGAACTGAACGGCATATTTACACAGAGACACGCTAGCATGCGTAACAAAGCCTCTCACAAAATTGAGAAATATGAGTGAAGTGGACGCCCGAGTCAAACCGCCAACTGTAGTCTATCACATCCACCCAAGGGCTTGCGAACAGAAGGACTTGTGTAGTGGAGGGGGTGAAGAACCAGTCTTTAAAGTAGGAATTTTTCAGTGGGTTGAAGGGAAGTGAAAAAATGCCACACGCATTGTAGAGGTGAAACACAGAAGCACAGCAAAGAAGTGAGGGACAGATTAGTGTGGGAAAAGTATGGGGGTCGACAGAACAGTACTCACACGTTTCGATGAAGAACTCTGCCATTAAGTGAAGATAAGAATAGGGGTGTTTGTATAGTGCATACATGTACCGAACTGGCATTCGAGGTTACTTACGGAGTTTCGTAGTGCATGTTTATTGCAACTGAGAATCGGCTCATAGTACTGGAGTGGAATATCGTTAGAACGAACTGTTGGATGGTCCCACTAAGAACACAACGACGCATAGGATTCCGTTGTATTAGCCTAAGTGACGTGCCAGATTAGTGCCGATTTCTAGAAGCCCCACAACTTACTGATCTAAGGTCACTAGAAAACAAAACTGAATTATTGAGAATCGTTATTGAAACGGCGACCGGAATGGATGGACGCGACCTATGAACTGATGGAATGCAATAGACGAAAAAATTCACATTTGTTTTAGGGTTCCCCGCCGAATGACAGAGCAAAGACTCCGTATGAGATTTCAGCACCCCTTTTATTTGCTGCGATCGCTATTTTAGATGTCAGTGATTTCAAATCGATTCGTCTCCGTAAAGCGAAGCTTTCCAAACAGCTTGGTGACTGACACAGGAAAAAATCGAAACAAATCTGTACAAGAGTTCAACATCGCGGCTCCACAAGCAGAAGAATTAAACAAAAAAAATTGGAATGTCCCAGAACAGCTCACTTAACTCACATTTGACCGTATGAGTGGTGATCCAGAAACAGTGTTTAGTAGTCACAACGGTGTGAGTATTGTGTTGAGCAAGAGAGCTCAAGGCGTTCTGCTTGAGTGAATTCCTATGAGCCACCGAGTGTATGCAGTCAGACTGGTGGGAAATGAGAATCTGACAATAGCCCTGCATACACCTCAACAAGCCGGAATAGTAATACTAACAAAGATAACCCGTTCGGTTTTTCCGGCTGACAGAGTAAACACGTCAGTAGTTTGGAGGGCGATTCGAACGTCTTAGTGGGAAGGATCGATAAACACAAAAGAGGTTTCGGGGGTCAACGCTCCTAGGACCGACAACAGTGGTCGCTTCAGTCAAATCTGGGATGACCACCATGTATTTATTACAAGCACAAACCTTGAGTAAAGCAGTCAGCATTGTGTTACCAGACTGGTTCTCAACCGCATTTACTTGAGAACACATATGGCCACATAACAACTGGCTATAGATGCACCCAAGATTACCGCTTTTTAGAAACACGTGTATGAGCTCTAGTCAGTGCTGCAGCCCCGTGAAGAAACGGAAAGCTAATCAGTAGTATGAGATCCACAATGGTTGTCAAAATAGTTTGCCAGTAGCTTCTGTCTAAACACTCCTCGAACATGGAACATACTGGTCGCGGATCAGTTCAAGTTGAGTAACACAGCGGTCTTGACCCCGGTCCACAATAGAGCTCAATTCAAAGACTCTTGACTCACAGTTGCAAGACTACATGGGCGAAATAGTGGATAAATAGTGCTGAGGGAAGAGAATATACGGTTGCGATTGGAAGCAGTTGAACTCTAACTTATCCCGAGCACCGGTTCAACGGAACTGCGGGGCAATAAAGTCGTTACAGCTAGAGAAGGCTGTCCAAGTCCCGCTGTTCAAGGCGAAATACTCCAAAGAACAGTTTAGAAAGCCGCAGGTGCTCAATTTAGCGGTCAACACATCACTGAAGAATGGAAACCTCTACATCTCAACGGAAGATGAAGTCGAAAACGAAATTACACTTTTAGAGGGAAACAGTGTGCGCTCCTAACATTCTTTACTCTGTCATGTTTAAGGCCGGATAAGAAAAAAATCGTCCAATGTATTAAAGCAAACTCATGCGGATCGTTTAAAAGGCACCAAAGGAATGACAGATAGCTACTGTCGTTTCTGTCTCTAAACAGTGTCAGACTTGAATGTGGGAATCATCCGAATATCGGTTTACACACGCTCGTCAGCAATCACAAGAAGCAAGGTGGTGAAAATCAAGTAGAGTCCAGTCCTGGTCGTACTAACCATATCTTTATTATGCGACAGCCTATCGAACACCGTCAGACATATGGAATGCCAAAGAAGCGTTCGAATCAGTCTGTGGTGCTGCTTTGTCTCATCTCCAAAGCCATCCGAATATCTATCAAACAATTGAGGACGGCTTCAGTTCACAAAGCATATCCCTCTGAGGTCATCACCAAAAGTGGTGCCCGTCGAAGTCACCTGTTACCCTCTTAATATACAATTTTGTAATTAGATTAATTACTTAATTATCTACTGTCCTCATGGTGGAAATCGCTATCTGGAAAGCCATCGTAATGGTCATCACCAAAAGTGGTGCCCGTCGAAGTCACCTGTTACCCTCTTAATATACAATTTTGTAATTAGATTAATTACTTAATTATCTACTGTCCTCATGGTGGAAATCGCTATCTGGAAAGACCATCGTAATCGTTCAGCTGTAGCACCCTTTCGGTGCCTAACTGCCACGTCACTCTAAGGTCGCATGAGGGCTGGGATACTGCCAGGTTGCCGAAGCCTAGACAGGGGAAGTTGAAAGGCAGAGGTCGGATTCGAACCACGGACCTTCTGGTCAGTAAATTCGCGCTCTAACCATTTGGTCCATCTCTTGGAAAGATCATGAAAATCTTGGGAAAGCGAAAATCATCCGGATAGAAGATACATTTAAAAATATAAAAGGTGGCAGTACAAACCGCTATGTGCTCGCACTTTCAAAGTGTGACTGTGAAACTGGGTGCGTAAACTACCAAAAGTGGTCGTGTTATCAGGATTAATAGACATAGTGGATAGATTTACTCATATACGTAGTCTCTTCACATCGGATGGCATCAGTGATGACGAGAATCGATAAAACCTATTCCACTTTCCTTCAAAATAAGCTCTTTGGAGAGTAGGGAATCGACGTAACACTGGTGACGCGACAGTGCGTCCCGTGTTCCTTTACAGTTGCGAAACCCGGCCACTGAAGGTTAGAGGCAAAAGACTGCTTACACTTGACGATTGCATATGTATTGTGGGGACATTGGATTAGCGGTACTTAGGTGCAAATGAGGATGTTCGGCAAAAATTTCACTGCATGGTCAATTGATAACTTCACCTGACCTCACCAACAACAGTGGCTCATTCATGTGTTCGGTATGCCAGGTGCTCGAGTGCCTTACCGTTCATAATGGAAGATACCACAAAGTGGGCAACACATGACGTGGGGACGAAGCACGAAAACATAACAGCGGCGCTGGTGTACGCTGGGGAGAGGTTGGAGTATCCGGGACTCATCAGGTCAAATATGGTGACGCCACGAAGCCAGTGGCATCCTCGTACGTATGTTCTGATTCTTATTAAGTAACCACACTCTGTTTCGTATCAGTCGTTCCCTGCAAACACGATCCGACCACCATAGACACCCACACACACACACACGGATCATGGCTATCAAAATGAACCGAAATGAATTGTGACCTCTGCTTAGATAGGTTCTTGAGAATCCACTTGTGTCGCTCTTTATGACATAGCATGTTGAGGACTACCACGGTGAACTCAAGAGTGGTTGGAACATCGCATGCTAACCAACTTAATCATCGTTCATGGAATGGAATAGAATGACATACACGTACGCGAACTAGTATACTTGATAACCATACGCTAATTACCTGGGTAATATTCACGGTCCCCGAATCCGGCTAGAAAACAGTCAGAAAAACTAGTGTGATCTACTCATCAGGGTTGTTAAACATGAACGGAGAACACGAATCTGGGACAGGTGAAAGACAGGCATCCATAAATCCGAGAAAAGAACTGAGTGATTCACTGAGAAACATAAGTTGGCCCACTGAGAGGTCATGAGCTTGAGAATGATCGATGTTAGATAGATAAAGGAGCCCAAAAAGGCTATGATGAGCTGTTGTCGCATTACTTGGTAGTCGAAAATACTTATGTAGTTTGTTAACGCGCATTTACTAGTTACGGAAGAAGAGAAAATTATGATATCTGCTCGTTCTGTCTCAACCTATCTTCTTTAAGATAATACGTTCGTCGAAATGGTAGACAGCTTAAGTTTGGTCGCTCCGACAATAAGTCAGGACGGGGTAGTGGTGAACGACCTGACTATGCCGTGAAAAACCGCACGGAGAGAAATTATCTATAATGCAGTAGACCCTTTCAGAAGCAGCCTTAAATTATTAAATATTAAGTACTAGGTCTGTTGACTGAAGTGGAGAACTACATGAGTGATTCGAAGCACTGCTGTCTACAGAGGAAAATCGAGGCGACTAGGATGACGCTCTCGTGAGGAAATGCTAAAGTGGATATACCACAGTGACTTTCGTGCCAAGCAAGAATGCTAGTGAGGCGCACACGCAAGCGTGGAACAGAAGAGTGGCGCACACAGGACAAACGTTCCATCTTATTCCTTCATTTCCTCTTGGTTTGTCACCAAAACATTCCAGAACGCAAATAGTGTACCATGACAACGGCTTCAGAAAATGGAGAACATGGGAAACACAAGCCCGTATTGTGGATAGAACGATAGGAGAGAAAACACGGAGGACTACGGTGAAGCGTTAAAAACGAGGGTAATGAAGAAAATGGTTGTTCTGATAACGACCACGGGATAAGATAAAATATTTCGAAAGCGGTCAACAACGCCTTAGGTGAGTGTGATCCTAAACTTGCTAGGTAACTAGAGGATAAACTCGACTGACAGCACTGTCTTAGATTACTGAGGTCATTAGCACGCCAAATCGACAACCGGCTACACCCAGAACTTGAACCATCTTGAGACGCTAGAGGGGTTGTCGGTAGCTGCTCTCCCAGCGAACTTAAGGACGTGTGTTGTTTTACGAATTGAGTTAGCAGTATTGTGGACCGGATGGTGCTATACACTTAACCTGTCCCACAGCAAAAATCGATTAGATATGAAAATTCTCTCTCAAAACATAACCCCCCTATTTAAACACACAATCGATTTATCTCCCAGCCAGTGCGTCGACTGGGTTGGGGACGAACTAGCTGACTGATAAATCAATGAGTTCTTTGGACGCCCTTACTATCCAGATATTGAGGTGACTGTCGGCAGGACACAGACCGGTTTATTCGACGCTAATTCAAGGTAACTCAGACGGATACTAGAAATAACGGAGGATAGATGCTATCCTAAAGGGAAACAACGAAATTAGCGATGAATTATTCATTTGGTATCACGTATCAAAGGAATGTTGGGTACGCTGTATTTGCGGTGAGTGGAATTACCAGGGATGCTGGCCCACTGATGGTGTTTTAGTCCATTAGGATATACAAAATGATTCTTGCAACAATTCCTTACTCCTCGGTTTTTTTCATGGTTGTATGGCAGCTAGGCACTGGCATTTACCGATGGTCCATTTCTGTCCACAATGATGTCAGCAGGAGAGTGACATGCTGCCATTGTCGGCGGACCGATTTTCGGCGAAGTTCGTTAGAGAATCAGCTGAATCCGGAACTGTCAGTTTTAGTGCAGGTTTGCCACGGATACGTTTTTGGGCGACAAAAGTACTGACCCCGACGGAATTCCTAATTACCAGAGCGATTGAAACTACTGCTCGGTATGCTTGTTTACTGCGTGAAATCTGAATGATAAAATCTCGCTTTTCCTAAGAAGCCATCCTCAGAAGAAACGAAAAGAAATCTACCGATTGTCTCCAAACTTTTCCAGAATGAAGTGAAACTTGTTAAGACGCGGTCGCTTCAGGCAGTGGGAATCGCTAATGAAAATTGTTACGTGAAAGGAAGGCCCACCACCAGCAGTCTATAAACAAAGGGAAGAAAACGTTTCGAAGAGATCGTGCAACATTAAACAAGCGATTGTGTCTGTTCTGGCGGAAGAATATAAGTCTAAAGTGAGGAGGGCTCAGAATGCGTACACCTTTCAAGTTTTGTGCGCTGAACCAAGATCGGCTAAAGAATCGAGAGGCCAGTCTGTTACTCTCATGGATGACCATATAGGATGTGAACAGTCGCCTGAGAATGAGGATTCTTTAGCCTATACCAATTTTCACCGAGAACATCAAGAAAAAACGAGGTGTGGTTAGATGACGCATAGTCAGTTTAGAATATGATGGGTGCGAAAGTCGACAACTTACTGCAAACTGCTCAGTCCGTCGCTAGATCGCGGACACAAAAGGCATATCCTAAATTGGCTCAGCCTGAAGTGGCCAAGTCTCGCAGCCGTACAACAATCCTACAATGTTAGAATAGGATGGGTGCAAAAGTCGACAACTTACTCCAAACTGCTCAGTCCGTCGCTAGATCGCGGACACAAAAGGCATATCCTAAATTGGCTCAGCCTGAAGTGGCCAAGTCTCGCAGCCGTACAACAATACAGCCTACAATGTGACCTGATATATGTTTATTGAGACGCAGCGGCACGGCTTTTCGATGCTACAAGTGGTGCAACTTGGCCAACGCGACCCTCGCGTTTAAGATTCCTGCGTCAATCCCATCCGTCACACTGCCGTCAGAACCAAGAAACCTTCGGAGACATGTAGAGCGCTCCCTAACTTCCTGTTTCTCTCTCGCTCAGGCGTCAACAGGTTCGCCTGTTCAGATGTGAAAATTCAGATGTTTCCGGCGTTTCCTAGAGAATCAGTGGTAACACGCTCGCCTCGGATGCCCGATGTCCGGAGTTCAAGCTCAGGCATGGCCAAGGGTATGCACTGCTGATGAGCTCTAATAAGAACGGAACTCGAGTTCAGTGATTTGCCCCTTTGGTATGAACTCACCAGAATAATTTCATCAGGACAGAAAGATGACTGTTCGAGCGAGAGTGATGTGAACTTGAATTAATGGAGGTATGTTCAAAGACTGCATATCCTGCAGCATAACTTTTCATTTTGTAGGTAGGAGGCACACTTCGAGAGACTGCATGACAGTGTTCAGCTTTTTTTAGTGATACCTGTGCTTTTTCCTTCCTCTAAAAATGACAGTATTATCGTCTACATATTTTGAGGATTCTCGGTGGTGTCGGAGACCCTGAGGGGTTAACCTCATTGTCTCGCCAGTGACGAAATCAGACGAAACTGGAGAGAGTGGATACTGCTGTCAAACACAATTGTTTGTAAAGGAGTTTTTGGATGGATCCACATACATTCTCATTGCTATTATCACAATGCAATGAGCGCATGCTACGCATAAACCTCTAGGGCATATTGTTGCACAAACGTCCTGAAAAAAGAACTGGTCGACAGAATCGAATGTATCCTTGAAGTCAAGGAACACCAAAATTTCAGAGGGGGTTATACGTATGCCGTTGCTTTGGCACACGAGGGAGTGAGAAGGCGTAGTCCAAGCGACCCCTCTCAAGATGCCGTTAACGGATTATGTTTTCAAGTGCTCTCGTAAGACGTGGCAAAATGGGTGGTAAAAGGAACCTAGTCACGACCGGAATCAAACTAATTGCTTTGTAACCACCACAATCAATGCGAGTACCGCTATCGACTCAGTTCAGCTGGCTGGGAGGGCCTTTTTCGTCCATATTGGGGCAAACAAGTTGGACAGGTACTGGCTGACAGGATAGATAGAAGTTCGCAAGGACCAGCAGTTCCGTGGAGCTTGAAGAGACATTCGCGTATTGCTGAAACTGTCAAAGCTCTCTAGTTCACTGTTCATGGCTCCATTGAAAGTCTGGAATCTTAGCGAACGATGGCAGGTGATCAGTTAAACTGTCGTTGAAAGCGTTCAGTCCCGCAGTTTAAACGAGGGAATGTACAGTTTTGCTCGACAGCGGTGCTTGGATGTAGCCGCTTGCACTGTTGTAACAGACTGCGTAACCAAATGCCGCATGCTCAAGAAGGTGGCCACCGGGACCTATGAGTATGCTGCGTGATGCCTTGCAAATTGGCTGTGTCGAGGTTAATAGACACCTGAGGTAAGCCTGAAAGTACCATACGTACTCAGCACTACTCGACAGCGGTGCTTGGATGTAGCCGCTTGCACTGTTGTAACAGACTGCGTAACCAAATGCCGCATGCTCAAGAAGGTGGCCACCGGGACCTATGAGTATGCTGCGTGATGCCTTGCAAATTGGCTGTGTCGAGGTTAATAGACACCTGAGGTAAGCCTGAAAGTACCATACGTAACTCAGCACTAGAGGCCATAATCAAGACTTTGAACTGGAGCTGGACGTTGACTACAAATTAACGGGTGCCAGAACAATCGACGCGAAATGGACGCCTTGTTAAAACTCGTATAACACGCGATCGGGAAGTTTCCAAAATGGGTATACAAAAACTGGAATTCCCCGGATAGTTGATATGTAGACCAAACAACTACAAACGTGGTAACACACGTTTCATGCAGTGTGAAGTGAGTGGACACCGGTTTGCAGACCGCTATCGAAAAGGGTATGGCGTAGTCCGAATCGATAAGCAAAGCAGTAGCTGGAACCGCCCACGGCTACAGGACACAGCCAAGAAGCTCACCTGTAAGCCCCTCTGAGGGACAACTTTGGTCGGTCGATGCATGGGTGACAATCTCCTAGAATTTGCACGTTTCGTCGCCAATACGGACGTATTTTCCACCATATTGTTGACATCTTGGGAAGGCGCAGACGAAAGGCGACTCTGTTGTCCTATCAAATACGAATCAGGGCCCTCGTTGGTTTCACTTGGATTGTGGTAAGCGCGTGATGGATTCCGCACCTGATGCCTAGATGAGAGGTCGTTTTTTCCATGCAACGGCTGGGTTGAGTACTGCAGTCCACCATGCGACGAAGACAGTGGTTCGCGACTCTGATTCGAGTGATTCATCTTGTTCTGTTGTATCCACAGCTACAGAGTAAAGAATTAAAACAAAATTCGTCTATCCAACACAGGGAAATGAGATGTGGATGCTAGACGTGAAGAAATGCATAAGCCGTTGTCGAAAATGTTTCACAGGGAGGACAGTGGAACTATGTGGAGTAACTGACAGAGTTGGATTATTTGCATCGCGCTCGCATTCCGTATCAATTCACCGCGAAAAATGTAGGTGATTTTCAAGTCATGACAGTCTACAATCTGCTAGGCTGGAACGGTGAACTCTTGAAATTTGTAAAATTCTGAGGTGAAAACCATATGGTGCGTGCTACCTGATGTTTCGTCACAAATGTTCCTTCAGAATAAACCAAGAATGGTGCAGAACTAAAATTTCTAAGGCGTTCTTGCCAAGCCGTTCAGAAAAGAACAGACCTTGAGCATCTTGCTAAAAAAGCACAGGAGTTTCTCTAAAGTCAGGAAAAGAGGACATGTACAAAATATATCCTACACTGCGCGACACAGACAATATACAGAAAACGGCTACTTATCTACAAGGTTGCAGGTGAAAGGGTAAACAAAACTGTTCAAAAAGAAAGGTTGCTTCGCACTGCAACTCCAACGCCGTATGTCCTACCGAAATCTATGTTGACACGTATTTGGTTATACCGCGCAAGGATAACAGGTCGGATCGAATTCAAACAGGACTGATAAGTAATTTACCTCCTAAGATTGCAGTTGTGGAGAATGATAACCGCCAAAATTCTAGAACGTATGTATAACTCTCAAGCTTAATTGAGTAAAGTTCTAAGCGAGCGCAATCGCGTGACTTCTATGTGAATGTAATCACGATTAAACCATCATTATTTTACTTTATTGATTCTAGATACATGTACCCTTATGAAAAACTGAAAAATCCCGAGAGCACACATTAATCCGTTATGTTGGTTAGAACTAACTCAAGAAGCAATCACTGCAGAATGGTTCGGGATGAACAAGGCAAATCTGTAACTCAACGGCGTGGATGTGTTTGGATTTGTGCAGATTTAAAGGAGATCGCTTATTAGTTAAAGGATGCTTGAAATAGTAGAAGGTAGAATGTATCCAGAAAACCATCCTCTGATTAAAACGCGGGGCGTTTGGATTCAGTATACACTACTGGAAAATTAAAACCCATTCGGTTTACTTACTTGCCATATACAATCGACATCAACCTGTCCATTGTCGGCTGGGTTGCAGCGCGATCCATTCACATTAATCTCCTGTTCCTGGTCTCCCGCAGTATCTGAATTTTCTGGTGGCGACGTAACGGGTTCGGAAAAACTAAGCAGTAATCTCTGACCAGCTGCGTATTGAGGAGGGTTCCATACGTTACCTAAAACAGGCGACACCAACCAAACGATTGTGATAAAAGAGAAACAAGGCATTCTAATTGCTCACTGCCTAACCAAAACGGGTCACACTGAGTTGAAGTGACCGGGTTTAACATTAATTAGAAAGGCATATAACTTTATTGAACTGGTGAGTGTGTCAGTTATCATGATGCAAGGCTGTCGAATGGCAGCAATACTGGCTATATCTAGACTCGAGATGAGAATACTTTCACCAGGGCTGAGTTTTTTCATCAACTTTGAAGAGACTAGAGGTATGGTGCCCTTCAATGGTTTTCGAACGAGTGCGTCCAGCAACACATATTGGGAGTAATGTAAGGCATCGGCCGTGGGAAATCGGTTGATGTCATTTCCAGTCCGTGCGAAAGCAGAAAGCATCAAACACTATTGCTGATCAACTTCCAGGACGGTCGCTTCAGACCCTCAGGGACACGTTCGCCGAGGTCATATGTATCCGTTTCCTTAAAAAAATGTACACAAGCCTATAACCAACAACCATGAGTGTGGACTAAAATCTGTATCGTTGTCACCTTTACTACCGTTAGCTAAAAGAGCCACACTATCAGCTGCGTGATTCCAGCTTCAGCCATTCAGTGCGCGGCAACCTTCGTATGTATTTTAGCTGATGACCAACCATAGAAAAACTCGTTCGACATTTTCATTTTGGTTATCCTGAAAATACCTCTTCATGGAGAGGATTATATTACGGAAAATGGGACTGAATCTCACCAGCATTTCGTTTCAACACAACCATTGCCTCAGGTCATGCAGGAAAACCTAAGGACCTATCGACAAGTCAGGGTTTTAGGAAAGCTCAGACTAAATCCACCAGCTTTTTTGAGGCAAACAGTTGTGTTGTCTGGATAGTTGAAGTAAAATGAAAAAACTATTCAATAGACAGCCGGTATTGGTAGAGAGATAGACAGATGCAATTGGTGAAATTTACCATACTGTAAATGTGCATCGGAGATCCCAGTTGCACCCATTCCCGAATCAAAAGGAGACAGGAAGATATTCAGTGAGAATAAACAAAGGATACTAAGAAGACTTGTTGTGGCAACGATTTTTGCGCGATTCGTGTGCAGACGACTGCCCGCCAATTGTCGACTGACCACGCCGGAGAGGTTGAGTAAGTTAGGTCGATGCACTCTCGCTGGAACAGACTCATTGGATTTGGTAAGGATGCTGCCTTTCCCGGGATAGAAGACACTGTTAGCAACCGTTTTCCGGTTGCTGGGAGGCTGAGAACGTTTGTCCAACACTGTGGAAAATAAATCAGAAAAGCGCTCTGAGTTCGTACACAGGGTTAATCACATGACAAATGGAGCTATTAAGCAACGAACTAGACTCTCACAACAGCCAAAGTTGTTCACGTCTGACAGCCTTTCGGTGCAAGTTGTCAAGGTAACCAAAGGAAGAATGAGGGTTGTAATACAGCCGAGTAATCCAGACTTAGACTGAAGCAAACGAGAAGTTCGGCGTTGACTTGAATGGCGATTGGTCTGGGTGAGAACATGTCTGTTGAAACGTCCATGTAATTATTGATTGTGGGAAACACACGGATCATCTCGCACATCCGATGACTGGAGATCAAATACTGGCGCCAACCAGGATATTCACTCATGACACAACTAGATTCCACTGTTTTCATCCGTTGGTTTGAACTAACTAGAATAACTGCACCAAGATGAGAGGCAAACTATTCAAATAAAATTGACAGGTACTTGTGAAAACTAGCGTTTGATCGGGGGCGAGATGGTCCAAGGGGTTAGAGCGCGAATTTACTGACCGGAAGATCCGTGGTTAGAACCTGACCTCTACCTCTCGACTTTCCCTATCCAGGCTTGGGCAACCTGGCAGTATCCCAGCCCACGTGCTTCCTTCTGATGGCATGGCAGTTGGGCACCGAAAGGATGCTACAGCTGAACGATTTTTTTAGCGTTTGATCCAAATAACCAGAACTAGTGCATATTTTTGGATATAAGCCGCAAATTACACCAGAGTTTCCTACGGGAACTAAAGGTTGCGGCTGACATACAAGTCCGTATTGCACGTGCCTTACTCGTTCTGCCGCCATCTCATTTGGGATTTTGTAATGCGTTAAGGTGCAAGCTACTGACTGACAGATCCTGGTTTGGGTCCAGCCCTGGATCTTTGACTGCTATTGATAGTATCGCTGCCCGTGTGCTTCATTTGGGCTGTGTGAAGGCTATGCGTTAGAAGAAAACTGAAGTTCAGCGACCTGACTTATTCTTTTAGTTATAGTTGCAGGTATCGCGTTCAGAAAGTGATGTTTTAATTCCTAGTGGTGGTAGTACTTACGAAACAGTTATTACTTTACCACTGAAATCGGGGCTCGCCGATGGTAAGCAACGAGCTTAATCAAGTCTGTGGCAATTATTTGGTATCGTATTCGACAATTGAGAAGAATATCATATCGCGCGTAGGTATTAAATATAATCGATCCGCTTTGCAGTGACCATTGTTTATTGACGTGACGAAATTTGCAGTTTTAAAGCCTACACACCTCTAAAGCGACCGTTTACGACCCGACCTAACAATGAAAAAAAAAAAGATTTTGTATCACTGAAGGTAAGAAGTGTTGCGAAAAATACCATCGACGATGATAGTCCAACCCACTCGAGGCCGTACTAATGATGTCTCCGTGAATGGTGAGGAAACGTTTGCACTTCAATCGACACGCTACGCAGACAAATCTGAAAGTGCGTATGACCCACTCGAACAACACAGAATGTTTAGTTGGTGCTATCGTATGATCTGTTTCTTTAGCAAGCTAAACTGGCAAAAGTGAAGGAGCAGCGCTCTGGATCTCCTTGCTTTGACCAGAACCAGCTTGGCTTGTCTACTGACCGTCCTGAATCGAGCACCGATGCCTGGGTGCGCTTAAAAGAGAACCTCGCATGTATAGAGTAACCCCTCTTTCCTCGTCTTCTCATTCCTCTTGTTCATGAACCAAACCTTCATGAGGCTATCTTCTGAGCCACGGCATAGTGGAGTATAGAATTTCAGGACGTCTAAATCAGACAGGTTGACAGTGAAAAAGGTGGACAGTTGCGACTAAACCGAACAGATTAATAACCTAGCTGTTCTGTCATTGCGAATTCTTGTAGATTGCAAAGCTGGCCTGTGATAGAGTCAGATATATCAATAGTTGATTATTCGACTCAGAAGACAAGATATATTCAGAAGACTTTTACACGCTTGAGAAACAACTTGAATATCGTGTAAAAGAATTTGTTGAATGGTGCAATAGCAAAACGATACTGTATTAGGATAAAGAAGCATCGTAACTCACGTTTGCAAAATCAAAGAGGGGTTAGAAAATGTGATAACGATGTTATCATAACGACAAAAAGTGGTAAGTGTTCAGCTACGGTGATTTTAATCAATAAGACTTTGAAAACATAACAATCATGCGCCTCAACCTGGTTTGTGACATCTAATAAACAATTCTTCGGGAGAATTCAGCTGCTAAGTAATCGCCAGAAAAAATTCCCTCTGAGCACAACGTCTCGGTTGCGCGTTTGTTGACCAACTTTCTGAAGGAATCAAGTGTGACAAGGCTCAATAGTTGACGCGGGTATCGATATTTATACAAGAGGAAGCTCTCTGTTTCGAGACTCCGACTATCATCCACAGTCCACAGCAGTCCAGTAACGAATGATTTGATGTGTCAAAAAAGTCAAACACAGTTACACAATAAAGAATTCAGACCGGATTCGATGACGTCAGTAGATCTCGGCCCTAAAGGTTGAAGGGTGAAAGTCGAAATATTGTAGTCACATCGGGGTGTGTTGGATACACAAGTGACAGTACGATGCGGACTTACATTGATGGCAGTCGGGCAGAGTTCAATCAATAAATATCACACAATAAACAAACTAAAACACCTGTCAGTGAGGTGAATGACTAATGCACAATGGAGCAGTGTTTACACAATGAAGGACTGTTAATATGTTGTTGGAGTTGAGACGCGAACGAAAACCACATAGTCTCAGACATTTTTACTTACTGATTAGTGTAATGTTCGGCGTTTCAGAACCAGCAGACTATCTATTCAAACCTGCTACCATGCCAGTGGTAGTTAATTTAACACCGACCAAGTTCGGACGGAAGTATTTTAGCGACCTTGTTACGTATTAATTGCGTGTTTCTTAGGGTATAACCACGTGCAAGGGGAAATACCATACCCCCTCAAAAGAAACCTGAATGAGACAACTTCCAGAACCGCAAAGAAATGTTTTATGGGTTCTAAAACGATAGGTCTAATCCAAGGGGGGAATATCAACAACTTAGGGCTAATAGTTAACTCTCATGATCATCAAATTTGCTCGCGAGCGCAGGAACCTTTGACGTGTCTGCACTGTCGACCTGGTTCATCCAGCTGGATTGTACGAGTAAGCCACACAAATAGAATATGAGTTGCAGGTGTTGAGGCTTAGGGTGAGGCAAGGCATGACGAATGAGGTCAGTAAAAATTGAAATGGTCTTCGTTGTTATGGTGGAGAGTATACAATGGCCCTCTTTTGTTGTTCTGCAGTCTACAGTCATTTGCAATAGTCCGTGTAATGGGAGATAATCGACATATCAGGAAGGTCAGCGTCCTGAGAGCAACCACTGAATGCGCGAAAGCTACCGAGACTCTCAGCTTTGCCAGATGTTGACCAGACAGATAACACCCCCTTAACATGGAGCGCGCCACAGCCTTGTATCAAACCCAGACACCAAGAGTCAGTGTTGATCAAGGTCAGACAACGCCCCAGCAATATGCAGCACGTCACAGTCTCGTACCAAAGCCAGACCGTGTGCGTTAGCGTTGGACTAAGTTCAGACAGTGTCCTTCCAATAAATGGCTTCAGACCGTTGTACCTTTCGCACTCGCACGCACTCAAGCTCTCGCGCTCGCTTGTTCGAAATATAGCCGTTGTGTTCCCTTCTGTGAGTCCTTTTCTCCGGCAACTAGGCACTGGAGCGGGTCAGCAGCAAATCGACGAATCAGCAGATATGACACAACACTGTACAGGTTCAACATGTTGATACAGCATTGTCTTAGTTATGGAGTACAAGACCACTGGATCAAAATGAAACTGTGGTCAAAACTGTCTAAAAAACTGCAGACGGCTGAATTTTGGTCGACCACGAACTACAGGCATGATCAACACTCTTCATTAGTCATCCTACCAAACGGGAAACATTCTGCATTGCGTAGAAGGCTTGAGTCTACTAGAATATTCCCTACAATAACTTCAGGGGAGGAAATAGCTCACCATTTAAATACGACCCACAGACCTGAAGGTTGATCAAAGTCTTCACACTCGAATTCTCAATTCACTGCATTTCAGGTACAAAATCTGATCACTACTCAGGTCTGAAATCAGTCGATTTTCAAACGCAGACCACAAAAAACCGAGTAAACAGGGTTGACAGGGGATAACTCACGAACTCGGTGGTCTAAGGAGCACCGTGATAATTTAGCAAGTCACACATAAAGCCTTACCTCTGTGTCGGGGACGTCAGCATCCCTAAAAACCGTTTATTTTTCAAGTTTTTGCCAAATTATTTTTCTAACACTGAATTTTTAAATTTCGCGCCTTTTCCACCGTGTTACACCTCAATCCAAAAAGACCGCGCGCCTTTCCTATATATATATACGACAGTGCTCCCGTTGTAAGTTGTCTTTGGTGAAAGCAGTAAAAGCCTTCCTCTAAAGGTCTGGTCTTCTCTCTGCACTAGAAGTGGTGAGGCTCACGTCATAGCTGGGGATTTGTGCGCTCGTTCTCAGGTCGCGTATAGCCGTTGATCGTACCCGCTTCCGTACATAATACTCTCCGTGTATGACGACTGCTTAGTGATGCCTATAAAGCAAGTCAGCGATGAGTTAACCGTCGTTTTTCTTGCTACCAATCACTCTAATTTTAGTACCACAGAGGTTCGTAATGGACTAGGACTGCTCTGCTGATCCTGCAATATAAGCCGATTATTTCAGCCTTCAGTTCAAGTTCAGGAGATATGGAGAAGGGAGAATGGGTTCCATCGGTTTATCGGAGACCATGTGAGGAAGTACGTGTAACCATCCACCGACAAGATGACGAACTAGTAGTGTGCACAATCAAGATTGACGTTTTGTTAGCGACTTCATTATCCGTCAGTGAAAAACTAGCAGCCGTTGATTCGTGTGGCTATGTTGCTTTGTACACTTAGTGACCCTCTAGTGTTACCAAAGCCGAAGTGAACTGTTCATTCAGAACTGATCAGTTCAGTTTGGAAACTAATATACACAACTTTCCACCTAAGAATGGACAGCTATTCGGAAGTGAAGGAATGTTCAGAACCTGTATGAAGTCTACCAAGCTAAAACCTGATGACAATCTGAATCAATCAGTGAAAAACACAGTGGATAGACGAGGAAGTATGTTTCCAATCACACCAACCTGGAGGTTGAGCCAAATCAATGCCGTTCACCCATTTCAAAGAGGTTTGGTCCGTAGATTGCGGGGTCTGAATCGAGAGGGTAGTCAAACTGTTTCGCGTGGGGGTAGAGAAGGCGTGAAGTAGAGACGCGCCAGAGACAGTCACGGAGACTGGGAGAGAATGGGCAGCTGTTTTTCGTGTCAAATCAGGTGGTGAAATTGTATTTACTGTCTGCAAGGGAGGTGTAGATGGGGCGGATGAAGAATCCGATGGTGTGCCATTATCTGGATGCGAATCACTGGAGTCGTAATTACTCAACTGCGACTGAAGCTCCGTTAAATTACGTTCCAATTCATTGCACCGCACGCGCCATTCTTCATTTTGTCGCCACAGATTGATATTTTCCCGCTTCAGCTGTTCGTAGCGCATTTCCAAACGTTCAAGGTACTGAAAAGGCGTTGACAAGACAGCTATGCTCAGAACTCCATGCGTGCAATCACCAAGTATGTGCCAATGAAGAAACGTAAAAGCGAACCATATAGTTGGCAGGATAGCCGTATCTAAGAGAACAGTGTTCAAAAATTATTAAAAGTCGTGTGCCATTCTGAAACCTTGATGAACGTTGCTAACGAATCCCAGAGGAGAATTTCACTAGAAGGTGTACTCACAATCCCATCTGAAAGCAGTCAATCAGTCAACCAACCAGGTTTTTAGCTATAAACCCTGCACCACAATACATGGGTTGCCGCTAGAACCCATTACCGAGGACAAAGAGAGAAAGATGACAGCCACGTGTTGGAGGCGATGGCCCGATCAGTTCAGTGACATTACATTGTTCTGTTTGTCCGATATAGAAAGGAGTGGGGGAGCTAGGTAGTGAGGATAATAGCTTCGATGAAGGATCACAACTGTCTGCCTTACAGCATATCTCCCTGGGTCACCGATCATCCGTATTTCTCGTCCCGAGGTTTCTAACCGAGGAGACGATAGATACGCATGCGACTGGGTTGACTGATATAGACTTCTACGCTTCTTTGCCCGTCATGAACTGAACGCCCTTAGGTCATCTCCACCGGATACAATGCTGGGCGAACGGGGTTCTGTGAGGCAAACGACCCTCTAGCATATGAAGTACACGGCCTTACGGAATGCGAAATTTTCCCGTACTAAAAACAAGCTGACTTACTCCAGTACTACTGATCTGATGTTCTCACCACACCCGGTAGTCAGACGTAGACTACAAAGGTCTTTCTCACGCAGCGACTACGTCCCTGATCCATAAAGCAAGATCGAACATTAGCCGTTTATATTCTACCCTCGACTAACAAAATGATACCACATCAGCACCACAAATGCGGGAGGTTGGCAAACGCAGTCTTGACTTTTCCGTTTCTGTAGATCGTGTTGTCGATGTCCCCATAAACCGATGAAAGTGCAAGTGAAATCTCAGTTCAACACACCAAAACATGATTCTCCAAACGTAGCGTGTTAGTTTGCGGAGAGAACAATTGTGCTACAACGCACTTAATTAAGCGCAATCCTGAACAGCCTATGAATGGATCGATTTTGTTAATCTCCACTATACGAGATCACTGAACCATCATTTTGCATCATTACGTTGTTTTCATGAAGTTGAAAAAATATGCTTCCTTTCGAGTTTACTATGAGAATGCCCATATATATAGCTTTTTATCGTTTGAACACACGAACAGGGTAGCTTGACATCTGATTACCCGACACAGTTAGTGTCAGTTTCGGTACATCCGTAGTTTTCTACGGCTTTGCTAAGGGAAAGTAGTCCACTGAAGCCGCTACAATTGAGATGATGAGGTCAGAGCATTTTGAACAACAGACAACATTGCTGTAACACCCCTTCGGTGCCTAGCTGCCATGTCACCCGAAGGAAGGACGAAGGCTGGGATACTGCGATGTTGCCCAAGGCTAGACAGGAGAGTTCCATATTCGAGCGAGAACTGAATTCACCTCTGGTTGCTTACTTTGCGTTAGTTCAATACGGAAACCCAACTTCGACCTTGTCAGTCAGCGTACACTATCACATTATGATCCCAAGATGATATAAAAGCCTATTATGTTCTTTGACCGATCGCTCAAAACTATACATGGGATATTCGCTGGAAAAATAGACGCATTATTTATTACCACTGTGACCGTGGAAGAATGTGGGACGTTATACAGCTGCAGGGATTTGAGCTTTCCCACCCAAGCACCATGCAACATGACAGCGTACAACTAGCACACGCGCCTGCAAAATCAGATAAGCCCATTTGGTCGAATTTTTCAACCGACTGCACAGATACGTCATCCCGAAGTGCAGATAGGAAGAGCAAGAAAGTCGACAATTGACAGATTTGGAGAACTCACACTAGGTTGACTATGAATGAAACACGCGTGTTGTCTGGATTGACAAGAATACTATGACCCTTCAGCCTAAGGATTGTAAGAAATCATACGATCAAACAGTTTCGCTTATTGTCATGTATATATCGGTGTTGAGCACTTAGTGGAGAACAATCCACATAACACAAAAATGATGAAAGTACGACAGCATAACGTCGAACACGATGAGGAAGAGTTTCGGGGGAAGTCAACAGTGGCATAGTAGCTTTATGTCTAGTGCCTGTCATACGAAGTCGAATTGGGCGACTCCTTCAACAAATATTTGCTTCGCAGAGCGAAAAGCTCTCCAAAATCTTCAGAACTTTCCGATACTCTTCAAACACCCAAAGTTAGGGTGCTCCGTTTGAACTATTCTATTGGAAACGAAACGTAAACATCCGTTTGGTTCCTTATCAGTGAACCACATCGAAGGTGGACCGAGTGTATCGATTTAATTACGTGTCCAGTCGGGTACACTAACTTATCCCGTACACAGTCGATACTGATTACAGTATCCTTACCGTCCAATTCTAGATCTTCCCCTACTCAAACATAGTAACTTCATTATGAGAATGAGCGGATTTAGAAGACAGAATATACAGCAGCCTTATAAGGACGAATAGTTATCAAAAACATCAGTTGAGTCTCTCGTGAAAACCAGATTGATTTGCAAATGAGTGTATTTCTCGAAAACCACCAGCTGTTAACACCCGGTCAACCGGGTGTCGTTGTGTGAAGACGCGTTAAGACTTCTCTTACCGAGATAGAGTGGACAGTGGGGATTTTTATGCACACATCTTACCCGTTTGGTCGATCTTAAGATCAAACGGCCCCATGGTAAGACTGCCTCCTTCGAACATCAGTATACTGAGGATATAGTCGGTACGGATGAATTTCGCTGAAACTTTTATGGACGCACATGGATTATAGTAAGTCACAAAAGAAGCAACAAACACAGCGCTGAAAGAGTATCAGATGTACGCAAACGCTCGTTTGATTACACCCGGCCAAATGGAGCCGAAGATGACTTCCGAGCGAATGGGCTCCACAACCCATTGAGAGCGCATGTACGTTCCAATAAAGGGCGCTCAAACCACCAGTGAAATTTATGTTGCGTATCATGAAGCGGGACGCAATCCGAATGCGCGTCGTGCACAAAAATACATGGTTATGAATAAACAGATGCGACCTACCTCTTTCTTGCGCAGCCGACTCATGCTCGCAGCATGCCGGTTTTTTATCATTCTCTCCTGTTTCTTCCGTAGACGTTCCAAACTGGTGTGTGTCAAGAGACAGTCGTTGGAGCTTAACAGTTCAGCAGAGGGTAAGTAGTGTGATGTGGAACCGAGTGGGAACGGTGCAGCATGTGAACCGAGGGCAGGGGTGACTGATGTCGATGAGGACTGTCCGTATATGTCACGCTAGGTCAAGAGAAAGGGTTGCATGTAAAATGAAATATGAAGCAAGCCAAAATAAGATTGTAAACCAGGTTCACCAGGTAAATATAAAGTAAGACTATCAGCATAATCATTAGGGAATACCTATTGACAAGTAATGAGAAAGATTACGTTACACTGGAGTTCGTATCCAAATGTTTCTGAACTTTACGGGATGAAGTAGAAGGAAATAACTAAACTCGAACCGAAACTGGAAGTACAGCAGAAGAAAACAATTCCGATACAAATCATATGCACATCAAAATGGTTCACGTGCTTTGCGCGATACCCACTAGCGACTATCTTTTATAACCTTCCCGCCTAATAGAGGCTCATCGCCACTTTACGACGGCATTCGTTTGTTAGAGTCTATGCATATGTAGTCGGTTCATTCTATGGTCGTCCACCTGTGACTGGAAAGAACATGAAACCAGTCCACTTTAGAAAGTCCAATGAGGGTTACTAAAAGGAGCAACAAACTACTTTTCTGATGGCAGTTGGTGCTTTAATGGGATCATCTTCCAACCAACATACTGTGCTGCGTGATTCTTTCGATTGCTTAATGGTAGTGTCAGGATGTTTTAAGATTCCAATGCCGATTTCACCCTGAAAATGAAGGTAGCCTATGCTGAGAAGCCGAAAAGCACTACACAGCTGCTTCGTCCTCGTTGGGAATTAATCGCAGTGGGCTCCCCATAAATCTACAAGGGTATTCGAATCTGTAACCTCCCAGCTAGCAGTTGGAGCATGCGCAGCCAGTCGGCAGTGTGAGTAAATCTAATTTACACACTGATAACCTGCTCCGCAAATGTGTTTTCACGTTACTGAATTATCTGACTGGCTTGGTTGCATGATGGTTAAAAACTTCGGTCTGTTTGACATACAGTTGAACACCAGTAAATCTTGCTTTTCATGCTCTGTCATTAGGCTCATTGTAACGAAGACGATGATGTTACCCACTATCACGTCAAGGTAAAAAAAACATTCAGCTGTAGCACCCTTCGGTGCCTAGCTTACTGTGCTGCGTGATTCTTTCGATTGCTTAATGGTAGTGTCAGGATGTTTTAAGATTCCAATGCCGATTTCACCCTGAAAATGAAGGTAGCCTATGCTGAGAAGCCGAAAAGCACTACACAGCTGCTTCGTCCTCGTTGGGAATTAATCGCAGTGGGCTCCCCATAAATCTACAAGGGTATTCGAATCTGTAACCTCCCAGCTAGCAGTTGGAGCATGCGCAGCCAGTCGGCAGTGTGAGTAAATCTAATTTACACACTGATAACCTGCTCCGCAAATGTGTTTTCACGTTACTGAATTATCTGACTGGCTTGGTTGCATGATGGTTAAAAACTTCGGTCTGTTTGACATACAGTTGAACACCAGTAAATCTTGCTTTTCATGCTCTGTCATTAGGCTCATTGTAACGAAGACGATGATGTTACCCACTATCACGTCAAGGTAAAAAAAACATTCAGCTGTAGCACCCTTCGGGTGCCTAGCTGCCATGCCACCCGAAGGAAGCACGAGGGCTGGGATACTTCCAAGTTGCCCAAGCCTAGACAGGGGAATTCGAGTGGCGGAGGTCGGATTCGAACCGCGGACCTTCCGGTCAGTAAATTCGCGCTCTAACCACTTGGGCCATCTCGCCCAAGGTAACCCGGTTTCTAACACCCCCATTGTGGATGGAATACGGAAATCTCCTCAGAAAACGTGTATCACAGATATCGACTTATAAGGCTCGGCGAGAAACATGATACATGTCTTGAAGACATTCATCTCAAATCAAGTCATGGAAAAGGTAGTGAAGCCTGATGAATGGCAACCTTACAAAGGTGTTTTAAAGACAAAAGTATCCAAACACTCGCTTACCTTACCAAACATCTCTGCGAATAAATACAATGCGATACTACACATGGATTCCAGACAACGTAATGTGTTTGAAAAGGTCCATAGTTTCTATCAACTTTCTCTATAAAATTCGCCGTCCTCCATGCCTTCCTCTGCCGCGTGGCCCGTGAGTCACGTGATCCCAATAAACACCATTCTATACTATCAGAGCTCAGCATTATCTTCGATATAGCTGAGATATTATTGTGCAAGTTTTATGTCTCCAGCCAAGCAATCGATCGTTGACCGCTCATGCCTAAAATCGGGCGACCTAACTGGATCACGGCACTCACACCTTCGAGCTGGAAGGGGGGATACCCCAACCAAACGATCTGACTTCTTCAAAGAAGAAAGTCGTTCACAATATGCTGAAAAAAGCAGTTTCCTTATCCTGGATATACTACTGTGGATGGAGCTGCAACTGAGGTAACTATTGGATTTCGTACCGACGTTATACAGTGAACAGGCAATTGTCAGAATACCCAACTGGTTGTCTGAATCTATCCGAAGGTGAACCGTGTCGTTGTTTTTCCTGCTCTTACTTCCGCACAGCCAAACAACGTAACAAAAAGTTGCTTAAACATTGTCATTGTTGTTGTATGGTTTACGTAATGACTTTCAATCTTAAAGTAAATGCGAATGAGATGGAGATCACGTGGAACGGGGCACATAGTGAAAACATTACACCGGTGAATTAGGAACGACTTTGGAAAAGACGCAACGATGAACTACTCGGACTAACAGTACCACAGTGTGCGTGCTGCGGTATTGAGGATACAACACACCAAGGCCAGCAGACTCACCAGCTCGGTGACGAAGAACCCGTGACCATTGCACGAGCACCCGCTAGTTGGTTATTAAAATGAATTATGGCGTTGTGATGAAGTTAATAATAGTCAAGGTTTCACAGGAGCAACTTCATGGAAGAACGTAAAAGATAACGTAAGAGAATCCAGCAATTAACCTTCACTTGCAAGGCTAGTCCTAGAACCTGGGGATATGATAGTAGGTACAAGATTACTCAAATGCAACATTATGCTCAACTACGGTGAATGAAGTTCCCAAAATCTCACCAAGTGCTCTTCCAGAGCGACGTCGGAATACAGTGTTGGGTCATAGTCATCGAGGAACGAGGTGAACTCCGGCTGACTGGCGGTTGAGGAAAATTCACCTACAACGACAGAATGTGCCAGAATAAAACACTTGGTTTAACGGAATGCTAGCCATCTTTAGGCTGCCTCGGCGAATTTATTCACCGTATAAATAATACCTGCCTTCCGAGTGTCATTCCAATGTAACAATATTCAGAACCAGTTACTGTTCTTGAGTAATCTCTACAACCTAGGCCGGAGTTTCCCAAGTAGCAGCAATATTGCCCCTTTGGGAGACAGTAGAGGAGCTACAAAACATAATTGGACGAGAACGGGCCAACCAAGTTTGCTATCGGTGGGCAGCTGTAATTAATAAACACAAACAGGTTTTGCATTTTCAAACCAAGATATTTCAAACCTATACTGCGTAACTATCTACCCGACAGTCATGAACCACCAAACCCACGGCAACTGTTACTATTTTTGTGTAACATATTTACCCTACAACTAGTCAACACGGAGAAGAAAAGGCATTGAACCTCTCCTTGGTTTGGCATGCCGTGCGACAGATCGTGGTTGACACAAGGCGATGCTCACTTCCAAGGAAGAAGGCCGTTCCGGTCTTACCGTCTGTCGAATAACGGGGTGGTGGTGTTGCGCGCAAGGAGATGGCGGAGTGACGAACTGAAAAGTTTGGGAACCATCGTTCTAGACTAGGGAGTTAAGTCAGGTATATCGGTCTGAATGCTCATCGTATTTTCGTCCACGATTCAAATACAGAGGATAAATTTGGGCCATGAAACATCGGTGTTCAACGCTCATGTTTCCATCAAGCATGATGAACAGTGTCAACATATTGGCAAAATTATCCGGTTACCTTGGAGTCCAGTGAGGGAAAACTACTGCGACGAATATTAATCAATTTCCACTTGTTACGAATTTCCTACTGTGCGTGAGTAATAGAAGTACCGCCTCACTAGGTAGTTGCATTTTATTCCTGAAACTAATCATAGCACATTCACATAAGAATATTCATTCACAGTAGTAGACGAAATATAATAATAGTGTTAGAGAGAGACTCAACTGAATTGCCCGTCTACGAAATTGTTCAACTGATGTGCTATATAGGGACCGTCTTTGTTTCAGCTGGAACGGTATTCGAGATATCATGTTTTCTTGACAGGACACAGCACTTGTAACTTTTGGAAACCCTTGGCAGCCAACTACCAGTTTAATCCTCTTTGGGGCTCATCATGTAGCTACGGTTTCCGAGCACAAGTGGCTGACTAAACTCACTGTGGAAACCCTTGGCAGCCAACTACCAGTTTCATCCTCTTTGGGGCTCACCATGTAGCTACGGTTTCCGAGCTTCCCCCAGCCTTGTGTTCTACTTGAGCACCACTTTGTGCACAAGTGGCTGACTAAACTCACTTGCAAAGTACGTTGGTGCTAACGGTACACTCAACTGAATCGCACCTAAGTCTCTCGTTTCTGCTATGTAACCCAAAGTGCAGTAAAAAGACAACTTAATATTTCGTTTGGCATGGTTGGAAAATATAATACAAGACAGACAAAGCTACATATTACGTTGACATCAATGCACTAGGCAAATGACTGTATTCCGACAAATGTGAACAATCTGGTGGTAAATTAGAACATAAGGACGATGGAAACTCGGGGACTAGAGCTGGATGATGACCGCTAAAAAAGGGTTGAGCCGGTAATAGGTTCTTAGTCTTCATCAGCCCTATAAATTGTGTGTTACGCTAAGAAAATACTGTAAGAAGTTTTGATATTCCAGCGATAGCAACGGGTATCAACCATTACCATTGAGAACGCGAGCTAGGAGCAAGTAATGTGTATGGGGGTCACATAAATGGCATCACTCTACTCGGGTAGCGACCAAGAAAGTTTAACGCAAAAAGCACAAAAATCGATCACAACAACCTGCCTGTTTAGCTAGGCTACGAATACGTAAAGAAAAGTTAAAACAGGAAAATTGACTTGACTGAGAACCCCGCCACATAAAAAGCATACATCACGTAGGTTAGTGCAGGTTAGGACACAAGAAACGGGATATTTATTGCCGAATCTGGAAATATGGTGGAAGATAAAAGCAGCATGAGAAGTATCTGATGGTTGTAGTTCAGAAACTCATCATTCCGGTATTGTGTATGTCAACCGGATGCCAAAGGACTAACGTGAAAAGGGAGGTCAGACTAATTATTCCGAACGGAAGGCCGTTGTCTGAAGAAAGAAGGATAGCCATTTATCTTTAAGTGAGTGCGAACTCCAGGTACTGTTCCACAAACTGTCAGGTCCCAGGGCTTCGGATGGAACGTCTGCCTGGGCAGCCCAGCCTGTATCACAAACGGATTTGCGCAGTCTCACCATTAGTCTCATGGGAGACGGTGTGCCGGAACACAATTCGCCAAGTGTGCTATGATTACTCATTTCTTCTGCGTCTTATAAAAACAACCTTCCCCAAAGTAGGGCTGTTGGACAATGTTGGATTCGAGCGATGAGAGGCGACCCGAATGTACTAACTATTGGAGGTTTCCGTAACAAACTCTCACAGCTGTTGGGTTTATCGGAGTTCCTATTAGGGCTGTGGCAAGGCTCTCCTGATAGCGTGCTTGAATTATCATGCATAGCAACACCCACAATCAATGGACATGTGAGCTGTAGTTTTTGAATGCGTTAAAAAACGGATTCTCTGAACTCGTTCATTGTCAACGCACGTTTACTAACAACAGTTTGTGGATGTAGTCATGCCTCCATGGTCGTCAGCGTTGGTACCTCGAACAGCATTGGCTACACGGTTGAATAGCCCAGAGTGGACCTTGGGAAGATCCCTACGATGCTACTGCGTCCTGTCAAAGCGAAAACTAGGCGATATCAACTGACCACGTTTGCGATGCATTGAAGATACGTATCCAATAGGGAAGGAGTGAGCTAAGATCCACGTTCAAGAAAACGTACTGAGCCGTTTTGGTCGACCGAACACGAATAACAAAACTAACCTGCGGAATACAATTTTCATCCATTGCTTTTTCAAAACCATATTCAGAGGAAAGAACTTTCGGTGCATCCAAGACGATCCCTTGAGATTATCGAAAAGAATTCCTATGTTTCAACACAGAGGTCTCGGTATTTTTGGAGTAGGAATGAGTCTGGTATTTCCACTCCGCTATCCATTCACCTTGCCAATCGTGTTAGCTATTGCTTTGGCGTATACGGCAATCCTCAAAACAGGCAATCACGGGGAAAGATCGTACACTAAATCCAGACTGACATGGAATGCTTTCGTGCATTTTTCGAAAGGATGGCTACCGTAACAAGTGAACCCTAACAAACCGTTTTGTTGTGGGACAATTTTTTACATCACGTCGGTGGAAAAAATTTCGTTCGTGGTGGAACGCATTCAGGTTCCAACTGGAGGAAAGCTGATGGTGCAGCTGGCATCTCGCGAGAGGCATTAGCTTCAGTTGGCAGTCTGATGTCCCGGGTGGTGTTCCATTCAGTGTGAACAATTGTATTCTTGCTGACAAAAGCAGACTTTTGAAGATTGCGTTCCAAGCGTTTGACCAATGCATCGAAAGAATAAGGTGGAAAGTACCAGTAAAGGTTTCCGTCAAATCAAAAACCGGACAATTTACTCAGGGGACCAAAAAAAACCCTCAAACCGAGGATAAACACACCTGTTACCAAAATTTCGGGATCCGGCTTAACAACTCGCATATAAGGATTTGGTGTGATCTTTGGGGTTTCCTTTGTTGTAACTGAATCTGAAAGGACTGGGCTTTTTGTTTGCACGATAACAGAGTGGCCAAGTGTACGTGTAGTAGTGTTCAAACTCTGCGAAGGGTTGGGAGCAGCGGTGAGTCGACCTATGTTTGAGCGATATGTAGGACCTTGTACGTTGGACTCGATGGGAGTGATGAATGCTGGACGTCCAGGAGTGCCGTTGCAGAGTTTAAAGATACGTACTGGTTTGGCCGGCGTGATATTCTGGGTCGTCGAATGCTGTACAAATGAAGACCCTGAGACAGCCGTTTGTTTGGCAACCGACGAGGGTGAAAAAGAGGAATATACCGCATCCGTGAGTACTAAATCTGGGACGACTGGTGTTGATTTGGTGACTGTTGTTGTAGGTGCGGTAAGACTATGGGTGCGTCCAAGTAGTACATTTTCACAGGAAACTGTACGAAAAGCAAGTCAGTTTAATAGTATATAATCCTACCGCTGATCCCACTGTCACTGTCAGAATTTTCCAAGCCCTGTTCGAAGCCGGCAGGAGGAAAGTCAAACTCTCCCAACTCAATACCATCCAACTAAGATGGAAGGTCAAAAAGTTGGGATGAAAAACTCACGAGGTCCATAGGATCCAAAAGGCCTTCTATTGCGTCCTCCTCCCCAGCTAAACAATTCATAAACGACAGAAAAACACTTACGAATAGTTTCAAAATCCAGAATATCCATCGCCATGTTTGAAGGTCAAACTGCGGATCCAGAGCTCACCCAACAAGCAAAATCGCCGATGGTTGAAAATTTTAACAATAAAACAATATGATAGTCTACAAAAAAGGACTTAGGGATGTTAGAAAGGTGAAAGTAAAACGACAATCATCCTGCTACTAAGAAAGCACAAGCAAGAGTGCTAATGCTGAGATAGTGGCCCACCAGCTGAAGAATTTGTCATTAAAGCCACATATTCACTAGGTAAATATGGCCGTTCCACGCAACAGTCCTATGGCTGATAAAGTCTCTTAAATGCTCTGAATGTTTCAGAAGTTACCGCGTTTGGCACGACTCCGTGACTAAAATTCCAACCTTCAACCTAAGATCGGGTATGGTCACGCGGACTGATGGTTTTCAACGTAGACGGTCAAAAATAGCAAGCAGTATAAATGTCATGTATAACTGGACGGACATCTCCGGGCTATGAATCTTCCCTCACCCTACTACACTCATAAGCTACCTTCCTCCACATCGACTCTCACACCGAAGTATTCTGTAGACTGGCTCTAACTTTGGGTATCGTGGGACTGGTAGAAGTGTACAGGGGACTTCGTAAAATGTGCATAAGCGTGAGCTGGCGGCAGTGTTACAATGGAATGCGGATAATCTGAGATATTTTTTCTGATTAGAGTGACATCGAGAAACAGCATCTCCCGGGCCTTCTGAACGCAAGGAATACTGTAAGACCGTCTCCCCCACAGGGTAACTGTGGCGTTATGCTGCCTCGCCGATCACCTGTGTTCATCCCAGTAAACAGAGGGCTTTGTCTCGTTAGTAAACTTGATGGGACAGCTGCCTTTTCTGCTGAAGTGTGTGAGTGGCTTCATCTGCCATACTTACAGAAGTAGCCACGTGCTCCGTACGTCAGTCGATCAACCTACTCGATCTGGGCCCGATGGAACTAAACAGTGACTAAGCAGCGAAACATGAAAGCGATTACTAGAAAACCCGGTTCGTTTGGTCCAAGCTGGATGAAGACCCACAGCCGGAGCACATCAGTCATTAGAAACATTAACAGACATGATCTAGTAGCGCTAATCTTTCCAAATTTGTACCTTCAAGGTGAAGCTACCCCCTCCTATCTCCCCAATAGAAAGTCCGCCTGTCATGAATATTCTTCGTGCCCACATTATCGTGTTGTATTAACCACTCTTTTGCCTTCGTTTTCAGCTTATGTACGTCTATTCTTAGACAAGTAAAGCGCTATTCATTCTACGCTATTCATTCTTGTTCTCGCGCTCAATCAGAACCGAAACTCTATTCGTAACAATTTACTTGTCTAAGAATACAATGGAACCGTTGCTGCGACCCAAGTGTTTCGACGCAGATCCTAATTCTCCAGACGCAACAACGCGTTGGAATCATTGGTTCCGAACCTTCCAAACGTTTCTGGGCACTGTCGAATCGCCCAATCTAAATAAACTCGAAACTCTGATCCATTTTGTGGATGCACCTGTATACGTTTATATCGCTGACTGTCCAGATTACGAATCAGCTATCAGTGCACTTGAAAAGTTGTACGTTCGTCCAAAGAATATAATTTATGCTCGCCATCTTCTACAAACTTGCAAACAAGACACCAGTCAAGATGTTGATCAGTTTGTTCAGAGGCTTAAATCCTTGGCCAAAAATTGTGATTTCAAGGCGGTGTCCGCCATTGACCATCAAAACGAAAGTGTACGCGATGCTCTAATCAACGGACTTCAGTCTACTACCATCAGAGAACGACTTCTAGCTCAAAACGAACTCACTCTCGATGAAGCTCATGAATTGGCCAGGTCATTAGAATTGGCCCACAAACAAGCTCAGTCATACTCACATAACCAGGCGATATCATTTTCTGCGGCTGCAGCACCTTTACAGACATCTACAGTTATCCCTTCACACTCAAACTCCCCTGATTCTACACCCTATCTCTCGTCAATCAGACCAAAATTTCGGGATCCGGCTTAACAACTCGCATATAAGGATTTGGTGTGATCTTTGGGGTTTCCTTTGTTGTAACTGAATCTGAAAGGACTGGGCTTTTTGTTTGCACGATAACAGAGTGGCCAAGTGTACGTGTAGTAGTGTTCAAACTCTGCGAAGGGTTGGGAGCAGCGGTGAGTCGACCTATGTTTGAGCGATATGTAGGACCTTGTACGTTGGACTCGATGGGAGTGATGAATGCTGGACGTCCAGGAGTGCCGTTGCAGAGTTTAAAGATACGTACTGGTTTGGCCGGCGTGATATTATGGGTCGTCGAATGCTGTACAAATGAAGACCCTGAGACAGCCGTTTGTTTGGCAACCGACGAGGGTGAAAAAGAGGAATATACCGCATCCGTGAGTACTAAATCTGGGACGACTGGTGTTGATTTGGTGACTGTTGTTGTAGGTGCGGTAAGACTATGGGTGCGTCCAAGTAGTACATTTTCACAGGAAACTGTACGAAAAGCAAGTCAGTTTAATAGTATATAATCCTACCGCTGATCCCACTGTCACTGTCAGAATTTTCCAAGCCCTGTTCGAAGCCGGCAGGAGGAAAGTCAAACTCTCCCAACTCAATACCATCCAACTAAGATGGAAGGTCAAAAAGTTGGGATGAAAAACTCACGAGGTCCATAGGATCCAAAAGGCCTTCTATTGCGTCCTCCTCCCCAGCTAAACAATTCATAAACGACAGAAAAACACTTACGAATAGTTTCAAAATCCAGAATATCCATCGCCATGTTTGAAGGTCAAACTGCGGATCCAGAGCTCACCCAACAAGCAAAATCGCCGATGGTTGAAAATTTTAACAATAAAACAATATGATAGTCTACAAAAAAGGACTTAGGGATGTTAGAAAGGTGAAAGTAAAACGACAATCATCCTGCTACTAAGAAAGCACAAGCAAGAGTGCTAATGCTGAGATAGTGGCCCACCAGCTGAAGAATTTGTCATTAAAGCCACATATTCACTAGGTAAATATGGCCGTTCCATGCAACAGTCCTATGGCTGATAAAGTCTCTTAAATGCTCTGAATGTTTCAGAAGTTACCGCGTTTGGCACGACTCCGTGACTAAAATTCCAACCTTCAACCTAAGATCGGGTATGGTCACGCGGACTGATGGTTTTCAACGTAGACGGTCAAAAATAGCAAGCAGTATAAATGTCATGTATAACTGGACGGACATCTCCGGGCTATGAATCTTCCCTCACCCTACTACACTCATAAGCTACCTTCCTCCACATCGACTCTCACACCGAAGTATTCTGTAGACTGGCTCTAACTTTGGGTATCGTGGGACTGGTAGAAGTGTACAGGGGACTTCGTAAAATGTGCATAAGCGTGAGCTGGCGGCAGTGTTACAATGGAATGCGGATAATCTGAGATATTTTTTCTGATTAGAGTGACATCGAGAAACAGCATCTCCCGGGCCTTCTGAACGCAAGGAATACTGTAAGACCGTCTCCCCCACAGGGTAACTGTGGCGTTATGCTGCCTCGCCGATCACCTGTGTTCATCCCAGTAAACAGAGGGCTTTGTCTCGTTAGTAAACTTGATGGGACAGCTGCCTTTTCTGCTGAAGTGTGTGAGTGGCTTCATCTGCCATACTTACAGAAGTAGCCACGTGCTCCGTACGTCAGTCGATCAACCTACTCGATCTGGGCCCGATGGAACTAAACAGTGACTAAGCAGCGAAACATGAAAGCGATTACTAGAAAACCCGGTTCGTTTGGTCCAAGCTGGATGAAGACCCACAGCCGGAGCACATCAGTCATTAGAAACATTAACAGACATGATCTAGTAGCGCTAATCTTTCCAAATTTGTACCTTCAACGTGAAGCTACCCCCTCCTATCTCCCCAATAGAAAATCCGCGTCATGCCTGGATTCGTGAGTCAGTGTTTTGAGGTATTGCCTCCAATTTGTAGCTATTCAACCATATCTCTCCAGAGCATCGGCAAACAAAAGCTTCATGGTCCTATAAACTCATGGGTATTCCGCCTTCGTGGCGCTGATTTCGTTGTCAACGGCGGCAACAGTTGTTCGTCGGAGACCGTGAGGTGATTGAACCTGCTCTATGTATGTCATTTACACCACCGACAACAGCACTAAATGAAAACAACAGTGCTGTGTAACAGTATGTCTATACGAATTGTAGTAGGAAAGGGAGGGCGGAACAAGGGCTAGCAGAAGTATCGAAAACTTAAACCCTGTCAATCTGGATAGGAACCGTCAACGTGAAAGTCACTGACACCGGTTAACCCCCATATATTTCAGCGTCTCCAGTCAGAAAAAATCGTTTAGCTGTAAGACCCGTTCGGTGCCTAGCCGCCATTCCACCCGGAGAGAGCACGAGGGCTGGGATACTGCCAGGTTACTCGAGCCTAGACAGAAGTCAGATGCACAGGTCGGGTTCGAACCACGGAACATTCGGTCAGTAAATTCGCGCTCTAACCAACTGAACCATCTCGTCCCCACAACACTCAAACTTTTCGTATTATCCTTAAATCCCTTCTGACATTTCAAATTCTGTGCACCGGATGTTTCCGCCATTCCAAGCTACGCACGGAAAACAACGTTCTTCCCAACATGCGTGAGGCATCGCCTAACCGGCTTAGCTTTCAATGTTAGATTTATTCGTCTGCTTAATCAGAGGCCCTTCTCCTGATCAGTCCGCTCTAAATTCGTTGTCTCCAGCCGACTCCAACTGTACTCCTGACAGAACAGTGACCAAAGACTTGAAGGTGTCTCATCTTCCACGCCTTGCAATCGCAATACTACCGAAACAAAATATATATATATATAGCCTTCCATAACCTCCAGTCTCACTCTTTGAATTACCAGAGGCATGCTCAAAGACTGTACACCCGACAGGATGACTACACATATTATGCGAGTGAAGCACAGCCGGAGGGCTGGATGATGTTGGTTAGCTTTTCTAGTGATATTTGTACATCGTGCTCTTTTTCAAAAAATGAGAACGACACTGTTCTCATATTCCAGGTCGACAATGTTGTAGGTCAAATTCGAAGACCTTTCAGTGTTGCTGCCTTTGCCAGTGACGAAATTAAACAAACATGGAGGAAGTGGGAATCCTAGTAGGAAAGCTTTTGGAGAGCTCTTTGGAGCGCCAACAAGTATATGAACATAATGCATGATCATCGTGAATTTCTGGGACATGCTCTGTTATGCAAGCGTGTTGGAAAGAACGGATCTGTCAGCATAATCGAACGCATCATCAGAGATAGCAACATTAGTGTTGACAGTGAAGCTTCGCTGCCGTAAAAAAAGTTGGTGAGGGAGGAGACCTAATGCTGGCCTATGACAAACACTCTGAGGTGCCTACACCCCCAAGCACTCAATCAGACTATCTAGAAAAAACGACAACACGAATACTACTGACATTAACCAGTCGCTATTTTCTGCAATGTCTTTAGCCAAGCACAGGCGGGGTCACGGCGCCTTAATATACGCCGTCGCTCTAACACTTGACGGAATGCGAAGATATGGTTCGCACAGCCTTTTCTCGACCGAAATCCTATTTGCTCTCGAGATTCTTCTTCTCGCGCTTTCGTAAGACGACGTAAGACAAACGTCGCAAAGTGTCTGGTTGCAATCGGAGTCAAACTAAACGCTCCGTGATTTTCACACATTACGGGCACCTTTTCTCTTTCATCCAGATAGTGACAAATAAACTAGACACAGAGGATTTCACCTCCATCTTGGAACGGATGCGGTGGGATTTCGTCAGGACCGACAGTTTGGTGGCACCGTAGGGACGAAAGGAATTCGCTTATCTTCGAAGCCGCCACGGGTTCCAACCTCACTATGCAAGAATTCGTTGCCGGTCGGAGATCCGGCTGAGCAACTGCAGGTGGACGGTTGTATTGTTTCTGAAAGTATCCAAACCAACGATGCAGGCGTTTCTTTCTCTACAAAGAAGATAGCCGCTTTTTAGGTGATCGTTCTGTTTACAGAAGGCATCTTAGGCTCTGTTACGCTTATCACCCGGAACAGTTTACACATTTTCCGAGTGTTTCGTCACCCCATCTGTATGGCTTTATGAAACAGTGAAGCTCGGTGAAGATGCACTTTTGCACCGGAATTCTAACAGTTCGTCGAGTAATATTGTACTTTCGGACAGGATGAACACCTGTCCGAAATCCAGTAAAAAAAACCGTCCAACTGTAGCACCCTACCGATGCCTAGCTGCCTAGTCACCCGCAGGAAGCACGAGGGCTGAGATACTGCCAGGTTGCCCAAGCCTAGACAGGGGAAGTCGGGATGCAAAGGTCAGGTTCGAACGACGAACCTTCCGGTCAGTAAGTTCGCGCTCTGATCATTTGAGCCATTTTGCCCCACGAAATCGCGTTAAGACCTAGTTGGTTGTGACGGACTGCAAGCGGAGCGCCCGGCACCTTGTAGGATTGTGGGACAGTACCTTTCAGTAAGAGTCGACATCAAAAGATATGTCCGAGAGGGACTACAGGTAGTTCAAGTTAGTCTGCGTTTCATCAGGGTCCAAGACCGAAAGACCGGGTCGTGTGCGCACTTTGCTCGCCCGTGGACAGCGGAGCAAGAATTAACCAACAGAGCTGAGATCCGAATCCCCATAAGCGTTCTCAAACGAGAAACGATCAACAACATCTCTGCCAGGCGGAGATCCGCATCAAAGTCACTTCATCGCTCTAAGTTGGGCGCTGCTACAGGCAGGAATCCTATCTCGCACTCGATTGGTCGAAAAAAGCGCCGCTGGTAGGTCTGAAGGCCCGTTATCCGCGCAATGCTGTCAGCTGCAAAACCTGTACAAATGGAGTTTACCTTTCTACGCTGAAATGTTGCATTTTATTGCGCATGTGCTCAAACCGAAAATCGCCGTAATCAACTTTCATATTTTTGCAGCTCACCAGATTTAATCGTTCACTGGAGCAACCTTGCCTGTAGCTGAAAAGCCCCGTGGGATAATTTCCCAGCATCGCTAAGACCCCGGGATGCCTGAATGAGGCTTAAAAGTTTGGAATGGAATTCTAAACTCAGCTGCCCAATTGCTTTAGTTCATCAAGGACACGGCATATTTTCGAAAATTCAACTCCATTGTGCGAATACTTGGCGCCAAACTGAAAATAACGAATGCAGTATTCGCCGAACGCGAGTTACCAATAGTGCTGTACTAGGTGCACACCCGAAATGCCTCAGAAACTATAGTTTGAACGAAAGACATCTACATAAATTTTGAATAGTTGTCGGATTTCACTCGTAAACCTGGAAACTCTCTGGAGGGTCACAGGTATATTAAAGATTATTTTAGCGTACTCAATGTCGTGATTCGCTCTAACACTTGACGGAATGCGAAGATATGGTTCGCACAGCCTTTTCTCGACCGAAATCCTATTTGCTCTCGAGATTCTTCTTCTCGCGCTTTCGTAAGACGACGTAAGACAAACGTCGCAAAGTGTCTGGTTGCAATCGGAGTCAAACTAAACGCTCCGTGATTTTCACACATTACGGGCACCTTTTCTCTTTCATCCAGATAGTGACAAATAAACTAGACACAGAGGATTTCACCTCCATCTTGGAACGGATGCGGTGGGATTTCGTCAGGACCGACAGTTTGGTGGCACCGTAGGGACGAAAGGAATTCGCTTATCTTCGAAGCCGCCACGGGTTCCAACCTCACTATGCAAGAATTCGTTGCCGGTCGGAGATCCGGCTGAGCAACTGCAGGTGGACGGTTGTATTG